CGATCAGAGCTGGATTCAGTTGTGCAACACCATGGACGAAATTGAACATGCAGTGGAGGTAGGTCAAAGACTTGCAGATGTAGTTGCGGTTGAACGAAATGCAGTTGCGACTTCAGGCAGCTCTCATGTGGATTCAATTGCACGTGCCTTGCTTGAAAACGTTGACAATTCCCCAAGGGATGAAACTGGTGAGAGCGAGGAAGAGGACTCTGACGAATTGATGGAGACAGAACTTTGCGAAGTCAGTGATCCAGAAGCCTGGATGGTTATGCATCATGGCAGTGGAGAAACTTCTGAATCTGAACAGATGGAGGATGACGAAACTACATAGCCAGATAGCATAGCAGTTCAAAAGGGTGAATCTGACAGTGACTAGGAGTCCAGCAAGTAGAGGCACGCTACAAACTGCGTCCCTGCGGCAGTATTCAGACACCTTGGAATTCAGAAATTTCCTTAGGGATTTACCATTTCAACTTTGTGCTTTTGAACTAAAGTAAGCAGCAAGGCGGGGTGCTTCATGTTGACGCTGTTTGCAGTACATTCATTTTGCGTCGTGGAGCACTCAGCCATGTCACATACCAGGTGTAGTATCTGTTCATATCTTGAGGCGCTTGTATCTCAAGCAAAAGTTGCAGAACGCTATTTGGATTGCCGCATGGTGGAACGTTATCGGAACTCACACATGGTGGAACGTCATTGGGGTTGCAACATGCTGGAATGTTATTGGGACTACAGCAGCCACGAACCATGAAACTGCAGCGTATGTTGGCACTTGCAGCAGCGGGAACAAGCAGGAAAACTAAAATGAAGGTTTTGTCCTGGGTCGTCAACCCGGCCGTGAGCTGGGCCAAACATTTCAATCCTGCATAGTTTGTCACATCTCGTGCAGAACGAACGTGTGACCTTTGAATCTTTGGTTACAGCAACATGGAAAACAATGACCATATGTCACATGTAGACTGCACATGGTGATAATCTACTTAAGTCGTTTACCACGGACGGACGCCCAATCATTTTTTTTACCACATGTTGTGGAATGATAGGATTGAAAAAATGATTCGTGAATTTTGACACGGATATGGGATGATGCATTCAGTTTTAAATTGACTTGATTGCCCAGTTTTTGTTCAACATATTGCAGCCATTGGTTCAAACAATTTGCCGATCATGTTTGCAGAACATCTTGCTGAGTGCCGGGCCCATGCCTCAAAAATCCCAAAATTTGTCAGGAAAAAAAATTGGTTGAATTCAAACAAATTGAAATCCGAAAGCAAGGGGTTTAAAAAAAAAACAAATCACGCAGTGTATCCTGAAGTGGCCATCTTAATCAGGAAACAGGAAAACAATGACCCTTCTCTTTGGGTACATATTTCCAAACTCAAATAAACAATTATGGAAAATTGTTGCAGCTGTCACTTGTCGCAGGCTTTGGCAGGTCAAGCCTCTGAAGAGCTGCAGCGTTTGCAAACGGTGGCTGAGATGACGTAGATGGACAGTGTGAGAGCGCATTTCGGAAATTTCTGGAACCAATTCGTCCTATGATTTCATTCGTTTTGGGGTCGGTATATTCGTATGGCAAGAAACCACTGAGTGCAGGCTGGTGTTTTGAAATCTTGCCATTTTTGCTGAAGTCTTGACTGACCACAAGTGAAAACATTACTAAAACAAAGTTACGTCCCTTTCATACGTGTCTGTATGGCAAAGTGAGAACCGGAGCCACGATTCAGCTTTGTCAAGGCGCCGGAGGCCGAAAGGCCTGGCTTGAGTGCTGCTGCATTCAGCCTGTTGAAGCAGGCAGGACACAATGCTGACACGATATGCGATGTATTTCTTAGCCTCGAAGTATGAACATTCCCTGGGCACCTTACTTTGAGTTTCCTGACCTCCAAAATTTGTTGATAATATATCAATATATCAACAAATATAACAACAACCATTCCTTGATGTGTACAAGGTTAGTCAATCCCTTTCTGCAGCGAGTATCGTCCAGCAAGGCTGATGACAGTCTGCAGTCGCTGCAACTAGAGGTCGGGCATACACTGAACGTGATTGAACATTGGTGTGAATTCCCATGTATGTTCAAGTATGATACCAAAAACATCCAAAAACTGCATGAAAGTTGAACCGCGTAAACACTCAGACCGTTCAGACCCCTTGTGTTCAGACCCCTTGTGATTGATGATATCTCCCTGAACAGGCGAAGTCTGCGCCTCCGGCCGAAAGGGCTGGAACCTCAGACATTGCGGGCGACATATTTCCAGGGTTTTGGTACATTTCGCTGGCCTAGAGATTTCATAACTTGAAATGCAGAATGGGCATGCATACCTATCCCCAACGAAAGCCAATTTGTTCCAAAACTGAATTCCAACGCAGAGTTACTTGTTCCCACATTTAATTTAACACAGTCTTGCAAGCGTCGCTCCATGGGATAATGGGAAAACGCGACACATGATTTGAGGCATGTTGGTTGAATTGTGGAGTCCGGGGCAAGCAGCGGCAGAGTAGGGTTTTCTTGCCAAGGCCAAGCTTGCCAAAGAGGAAGCTGTGATTGAGCCCAGAATAGAAACGCTTGACAATGCGGATGACCAAAATAAGTGCTTGGTTTCACACAGGCACAGCGTGTACATCAATATCAGAAATTTCAGTAATGTTTTTGAGTATGACTATGCTGATTTATTCATTAGCACATGTATATTTGTTATTATTTGTTGCCCTTTACACGTTTGGTCGCAACTTGAATACTGTCATACTGTCTTTTGGACAAAAACCAGGAGGATCCGGGAGGGTAGAATTGATTTAAGCAAAACCTTGTATTTTTTCGGTGAATTTGTAAACCTAGTTTGGTACTCGGTTTCGTTTTAGATATTTCTTATTCAACATCATAGTTGGGATATCCTGGCTGAACCCAACAGATATCAACTTGGGATTGGTGACTGAACCACTGCTCTGGCAAGACCTCTCAGGTGCTAAGAGAGGAGCTTCGAGCAAAAGCCAAGGCAACGGTGTCAAAACAATGGCACCTGTACTCAGCAGATTGTGCTAGTCAAATGTACTTGAACTGACTTGAACTAGCGTTCACTCTCATTCTTGATCGTTGAGATGATTTTGTTCACTTTCCCAGTGAAAAAAATGGTACTTGACAATACAGACAGCTTGTCGAAGAGTGGTGCTGACCGTCATTGACCGGTGAAGACTGTCACATACCTTGACAGATTGGATCAGATTTGGTCGTTTCCCAGGAACTTGAGGAAGCTCGTAAGGCGTTGCTTTTAGGCGGGCGAGGGTTACTTTCTAACTACAGAAGCTTGACATATTTTTCCCAAGATGTGCTCGTTCAAACACAAAACTATGAAGCGACTTGATGCATCAGTAGCTTAATATCTCAAGTTGAGGTGCAGGAGCGGGTGGAAACACTGATAAGCCCCGTCCTCAGTGCAGCGGCCTGACATGCCTCAGCATGTCAGATTCCATTTTTACAGAGACAGCATTTGCAAAATATCCTTGATATCAGGTATCCGGTATCCAATATCAAATAAGCAGAAACAAGTCCATATTGCATAGACATATCTATGGATGTCTGATATTTGGACGTTGCCCCCAGGCTCTTTCTTGCCCGCGAGGAGCGGCGCAAGGCTGCTGCAGTGACCAGCTCCCTGCAGAAAGGCATCCCCTATGGGGATTCGCGCTTCTCTTTGTATCGTTCTTTTGTTCCAGAGATTGATATTTAAACAGTTCGGTTTATTTGGTTCAATGATGGATATTTTACAGTCTTCAGCAGATTTTATGTGAAACTCCAAACTCCTGCCACACGATGAACATCCCATCGAAAGGCACAGATCGTCTGAGAGAGGCGAATAAGATCTCTGCAGAAACAGAGGCATTGGTCGAGCGACCACATTGCTGGGTTACTATACTTTCTGAGAGACCTACAGTAGAGCGGTTGAGATGTGCGTGACACTCTGCTTCAACACTACCTCCGAAAAAGATAGAAGCACACACACACACACACACGCACTTGCTTGGAACTGCTTTTCGAATTGTGAAGTTGGAATGCATCTTATGTGCAAAAACAACGCCAGTAAACCTGACAGGAGCGAGAGTTGTAGTCAGGAGTTGAGATTCTCTTGTCCACTGATTGTATGCCCAGCAAGATTGGAGCAGACTCTTCCCTTCCTTGTCGCAAATAATCCAAATAAATCAGATTGCGGCAAACGTTCAACATGGAAAACTATTGGAAAAAACTCATGTGGTGATTTCAAAGTCGACATGCCGGTTCTGGGCTTAGCCGGTTGCCATTGACGAAATTGAACTGTTGAAATGGAATGAATTCAAATCGTAGGCAGGTACGTCGACCAGAGTCCATAGCCGTCTTAGTTGGCTGCAGAACTATGACATTCCCTGCAGCCGCTGTAGCCCCCTGCAAACTTGACTGTAATCCTGAAAATTGAAATAAGAGATTTGACGCCACCAGATTTGACCGTTCACCAGGAAGCCGAAAAAGGGCACACATTTTACATCTATTGAGATGTTCACACACACAGACTTACAATTAGAAAACATATCCATCCTTTGATTTTGCGTTCCTTCTCTTTAGGGTTGCTCTCTTTACCTTCCCGAATCTTGGCAGGACGTCGGCGTTCAAGCCCTACAGGATCTGCGCCGCCAGCGGGAGGCGATGATCCGGATGAAGGACAATACCCATGATGTTGGCACGGGGCTCCCAGGGGGGTCGTTGGTCGTGGCGGGCTTTGGCATATGCGGCAAAAAGATTAGTGTGTACCATCCATTCCTGGCAACCTGGTAATGGTTTGCTGTTGGGTTTTTATACCACATTACAAGGTAAGACCTTCAGGTATTTGCAAACAAGCAGGTGGACTTCGCTACCTGTCAGCGCCTTGCCAAGAGATTTCCGGGTAGATGTCATCTAAATCCTTGAACGTCTCTGCTGCATTTCGGCTTTGATATACATCATCTTTTTCCCCGGCAGCCATTTTCAGTTGGAGGATTGTTTTGATTTCAATTTCGCTGCCGCGATTTCAGCATGGCATTTCAGGCCAATTATGAGTTGGGAATCTAGGATCCGGAAGTTTCAGAGTCCAGAGCCTAGGAGTGTCCACAGGTTGCATGCTGTTTGATGCTTAAAGATGCTGAAGATGTAATTTTGGATCTTAGCAATTTCTCTTCTTATACGTGTAAGCAGAGTCGCTCTAGAATGAGGCCCGGAACATTTGTGAATCGCAAGGGAAACGGATCAGATGGACATGTTTTTCCCCACAACTTTGTGTGGGCTTCTTGTTTTTGTTTCTGTATCCCACGCCTCCTCCTCCGCCGCCTCCCGCTCCGCCGCCTCCAACCATCTTTCACACACAACTCTGTCACACACTATCTTTCACACACGCAACTTTGTCACACACCTTCGTTTTGCGTGGCAGGCGTGGGACTTGGCAACATCGACCGTCGTTTTGCGTGGCAGGCATGGCACTTATGGCACTGCGCTGGGTCTGGTGGCGCGGGGGCCCCTTGGTCGCTCGTGATGTCGCGGCACTTTGTGTGGCAGGCGTGGCACTTGGCGACATCCGCTGTCTTTTTGCGCGGCAGGTGTGGCACTTGGTGACATCTACATTCTCTTTGTGTGGCAGGCGTGGCACTTATGGCACTGGGCTGGCTCTGGTGGCACTTATGGCACTGCGCTGGCTCTGGTGGCGCGCTTGGGCGCCGCTGGTCGCCGGTGATGGCGTCGCACTTGGCGACATCCACCGTCGTTTTGCATGGCAGGTGTGGTGCTTGGTGACATCTACATTCTCTTCGCGTGGCAGGCGTGGCAGGCGTGGCACTTATGGCACTGGGCTGGCTCTGGTGGCACTTATGGCACTGCGCTGGCTCTGGTGGCGCGCTTGTGCGCCGCTGGTCGCCGGTGATGGCGTGGCACTTGGCGACATCCACCGTCGTTTTGCATGGCAGGTGTGGTGCTTGGTGACATCTACATTCTCTTCGCGTGGCAGGCGTGGCGCTTATGGCACTGGGCTGCCGCTGGTCGCCGGTGACGCTGCGGCACTTTGCGTGGCAGGCGTAGCACGTGGCGACATCCACCTTCGTTTTGCCTGGGGCTCTGGTGGCGCGCTTGGGCGCCGCTGGTCGCTGACGGCGTGGCACTTTGCGTGGCACTTTGCGTGGCAGGCGTGGCGCTTGGCGACATCCACCTTGGTTTTGCCTAGCAGGTCTGGCACTTCTGGCACTGGCTGGATCTGGTGGCGCGCTTGGTCCCCGGTGGCACTTGGAGACATCAACTTTCGGTTTGCGTGGCAGGTGTGGCACTTGGTGACATCAACGTTCGTTTTGCGTGGTAGGCGTGGCGCTTGGTGACATCCCGCTGCGTCCATCTCTCTCATGCACGACCTTGTCACACCCACACACAACTTTGTCACGCGCAATCTTTCACACACATCTCTCTCACACACACAGATTTGTCACCCACGACTTGGTCACACACACACACAATCTTCCACACACATCTCTTTCACATGCAATTTCTCTCTTACATAAATTTTTGTCACACACAACTTTGTCACGCACAATTCTTTCAAACACAATTTTGTCACAGACAACTTTGTCACACACACACAACTTTAACTTTGTCACACATACACAACTTTAACTTTGTCACACACAACTTTGTCACACACAACTCTTTCACACACAACCTTTCACACACAACTTTGTCACACACACACAGTCTTTCACACAGAACTTTGTCACACACAATTTTTCACTCACAACTTTGTCACACACACACACAACTCTTCACATACAAATTTTGAAAATATGGATCGTCCGCCAGGTTCTTTGTCCTGCCGCTTCAATGATTTTTTCTGATTATTGGAAGAAATTGACTTGTGGGGTTAGCCGGTCTTTTATTTTTTTCCCAGCTGACAGCGCTCGAATTGGTAGGTGACCTTGGCCTCCGGCAAAGAGATCAAGACGACAGTGGCAGCAGGTGGGCGCGTGGGCGATTTGAGACAAGAGGTTGCCGAGACCTTGGACCAACACCCCAGGCGGGAGAACAAAATGGGGAGATGGAGGGGTGGATGCCTGGTGTCAAGCCTGTGATAGCGGCCTCAGTAAAGGTACAGGGTCAGGTCTCATAAGATAATGCGCGTCTCTGAGACCCATAGTGCCATATTATCATGTTCTTCCACAGGCAATTTCTTCGAAGGGTCGGAAGGGCCCGGAAGGGCCTGAAGGGTGGTGATGTCAGGAGTGTCGAACTCAACAGTGGTGGTAACGTTCTTGCTGATGAGGACAAGGTTCCTGACTCTCAAGTGACAATTGTTCTGGTGCGTTTGCCATGGGTGGGTGCCACACCTGAGAAGGTCAAGGACCTTGGTGGGGGCGAGTTTCAGATTGTTGACGAGGAGGAGAAGAAAGGTGGTTCAAAATGCAATGCACTCTGTGAGGTGGGCTTCTCAAGTGGCACCGAGTACTTCGAGGTAGAGGTGGTTGAGGGTTCTGGTGCTTTCATTGGTGTCAGCACCAAGGCAGGATTTTCTGAGGGCTACAAGATCAAAGGATTGTTCTTTGGTGGGCCAGGCAATCTCAGCAACGGCAGTGCTGGTTTGCGAACACAATTCGGGCAGGAGGTGAAACCGGGTTCAGTCATTGGTGTCACCTTGGATCTGACTGATGAGAAGACAGTGGGCATCACATTCTGGGAAGGTGATACATGTCTTGGTGAGGCTTTCAAGGATTGTGCACGTGAGCCTGGTGCCATGGTATTCCCTGCTGTATGTGCCAGTCATTCGGGGGATCGTTTCAAATTGTCCCTGAAAAGAAATCCACGGAAAGCCAAGCTGGTCACACCCCACCCAGCTGTTGGATGCTGGGATTTGCAACGCTTGGTGGTCGATGGTGAGCTGGTGAATCTAGATGCAGCCCTGACCATCAAAGGCAAAGGCAAAGGCAAAGGATATGCCGCCGAAGGTGAGGAAAGCAAGGGCAACATTGTGATGGCAATCAGCAGCCGCGACATGAAGCTCTTCAAGATTTCCCTGAGGTTGGCCAACACCTTGATGACCAGTGTGCCTGGAGAGAGTCATGAGATGTTATGAGTCATAGCAGTTTTGCTTCTAAATGCTTCTAATTTCCTAGGTGTTCATCTATTTCATCTCATGTTTACTTGTGCAGGCCGTTTTAGTGAATTGAAAGAGAGAAAGTGTCGTCCAGTCGTCATTGCACCGGGATCTTTACGGCAGACGGTGGCTCAGGTGGTAGTCACAACTGGAGCCGATGGTACGGAAGAGCTGAAGGTCGGCATGGTGGCGGGAACGATGGTCATGGCACCTCCGCCTTTGATGGACCTGGAGCAGCGCTTCTGCAAGGCCTTGCCATTGATCACCAGCTGGGCCATCACAGATTCGAGGTTGGACCTTCGTGGTGAAGCCGTTGAGATGGACTTTATCCACTATGATGCGCCTCCAGTGGAGCCAGTCTCAAGCCCACTACCGTGAGGGTGTGATGTGGCGAAAACATGCGAAAACATGCTTCATCTTATTTCATTTTGACTTGGAAAGCAAAAGCCCACAACCTAGCTTTCAGGCCAGCCGCGGTATCAACATTCCTAAGATTGTTCGCGGGCCTATCCGCTGGTTTTAAGTTTTACCCAAATCTCAAGAAATGTTGTCAACATGCTCTGATCAGTGTGTTTTTGGAGGGAAATGTTTGCGAGAGACCGCAGCCTGTCGGACAGTCGTCCAATCGATTTCAAACAGCTTCTCAGCCTGAGGAATCTTCTCACCCTGAGATCATTGATTAATACTGATACTGATACTGACACTGGTACTGTAAAAAGTGCAGCAAATGCTGCTGTGAAAGGCTTGGTGTTGCACTGTGCATTTTGCCTGCCTAGTGTTACGTCGACAAAGACTCAGAAGATTGGGATATCCAGCAGCACAAGCATATGAGTGAGCGTTGATATCAACAGCAAAAGCACAGGTGATTCAAACGCATTTTGTGACGAGCTTCCAAGGTGCGAACCTCTCTGATGCGGAGCGTGCAGTCAAAGAATTAGACAAGCAGAGCTGTACTGCGACTTGGACAAGTTGCTTAGTGACTCTGTGGCCCACAACGGCGATCGGGAGGGATGTTTTCATTGTCCTCAGTATGATAAGCAGTGCTTCAATGCATTGTCCATCATAATTTTGCGCTTCACCATGAGTATCGAGATTGTATGCTTGGGGTTGAATGAAGAGGAGATTCGGATAGAAGCTAGGCACAGAAAACTGTCAGCTGCCAGCAGTACATTGATGCCGTTTAGGGAAGCAGGTCATTGCGGATATACTCATGCTCATACTCATACCATCCACTGGGACAAATGAGCTTGGAAGACTGCGGAACCAAGGTAATGTGAAGGCATTACAGTTTGCCTTCCTCTTGCAGGTCTGAGTAAGGCAAAATGCATGTGTGACGGCGAGCGGCGTGGTGGGAAAACAACCGCTTAATTCGGTAGCTACCTACATACAGGCCGCCCATGCACAATGGATTTAGCTTGCAGCGGATCAGCTCGGTTTCACTGTCTCCTACCCTCAGGATTTTCGCACCACGCTCAGAAGAACAAAGCGAATGACCGAAGGACTGGTGCCCAGTCTTGGGTAAACGACGAAGCAAAATAGACCCTCACACACATCTATATTACACGAATGCTATCACTGTAGATTTGTGGCCTTTTACCATACCTGGTTGCATGCCATTGCATCCAAACAAAACGGACTTTGTGACAGACATCTCGTTCGACTCCTTGCAACCGGCCGTTTTGGGATAATATTTTGGCTCAGGGAGGATGTGGGAAGTTTAGCCGGCAGTTTTTTTGTGCCAGGCCTCCGTGCCGAGCTGGCTGTTGAGCCATATGCATGGGAACATAGTACCAATGTTGAACATTTCCTGAACATTTCCTACCTTGGCCAACCTCTTCCCACAAAGCATGCAGTGCGTTTTGGACTGCGTTGATCATCAACAGCACGTCTGAAAAAAACCATCCACTCAGCAAGCACAGGTGTTAGCGAGTCTTTGTCTTCACGCGAGAGAGTCCTGGTAGCACTTCTAGACTTTCTGTGAGCTGTCTTGTGTTGCTGACTGCTGTGGTGGCACCATCTGCTTAAGTACCAATGTAACATAATGTAACCTCTGTTTTCAGGATGGCTTATCTCAGCTTTAACGAGACGGTGAATGCGAATCTGAAGTGACTTGACTCCAAGTTGGCCGTGGTTTTGGGGCGACTGCTGCATTGCTGAAGCAGCCAACACTCAGGTTCACTTCAGACAACTCTGCGGAAAATGAGGAGATGCTCAAAAAAGATTTGCCGCTGCGATACACATGGCCGCTTGACCAGATATATTGGCCTGGAAGGAATGGAGTGTGCTGGAATATGCTGGAATCAAGAACTGAAAGACTGTTGGAGCATGTTGGAGCTTTAGTGAGTTTTCGTTCCACTGGGGTACACACAATTTCTGAATTCAAAACAGCCCATCCAAAAGCAGCAGATCTGATCAAGCGATAGCTTCACTGCTGGATAGGTCCATTTGGGAGCAGATCATGGCCAATGACAAGGCAGCAGCATATTCCGATGCCACTCACAAGGCGTGGCGATGGCGTGCGGGCAGCTGTGGCTGTCCCGAATTTCTGCCTACGCAAGTATATAGTTACAGTTTTCTTGAGGTTCAAAAGTGAAGTGGCCTGTGTCTGATGATGGGCCCCATAAACTGTTGATGTAGCAGTTTTCATTGGGAAGATGATTCGATGATAGACCATGCAATTTTTTGGGTACCGTATTTCCAGACAAATCCAAGTTGATGTGCAGTCTTTGTTGTTTTGATTCTCCTCAAGAAACACATGGTTCTGCAACAAGTCTTGGAGAACGTTGCTGAGAAGTGCTATTTTGCACGTTACACAAACACAATCAGCAGTGGCAGGTTACGGCATTCTCTACGGTGCAGGCACACCTTCCACTTCATTGTGCTTCCTGTAGATTTCTGTGTGGACCTTTGGTCTATCTATCTATCTATCTATCTATCTTGAATGACTTCATTATTGGCGTGGATGCATGCAAATTTGCCCATGGAGCAAATCAAGCTTCAGTTTGATCTCTGAGTGTAGATGTGGAAAAACAGACAGATGCTTGCTGCGAAATGCTGCAAGAAGCATGACTTTTACTTGCTCCAATCTACTCCAAATCTCTACCAACAACTATTTTGCCCTCAATGATGATGAATGGGCCCAGGTGTACAAACCACTCCCAAGAGCGACATCGTGTCTCTTGAAATTGAGACCCATGTGGGCAGTGCCCAAACTATTCCTAGTCCCCATCGCCCGGGACTGCCAGGAATTCTGGAAGCTCTGGAACCACATGCCGCAGCCCTCAGAGCTCTTCGAACAGGCGGCTGCTGATGCGATGGGATGCGGGTTTGAAGAACTGTGGGAACCGTTGGGAATGAGGGGGAACTAGGCAAACTAGGGATTCAGCAAAGAATGAGTCTTGGACGATCTGAATGTCTTTATTTGGATGTGTTGTCAAATTTAGTGAGATGAATTGAGATTGGTCAAAGCAAGGTGGCTGCCTTAGCTTGAGTCAGAATCATGAAGCTTGCCGTCTGTTCATTTTTTTGGAACGGAACCAAGTATAGTATGGAACTTGATCACCATGCAGGCGAATCTGTAGTGCTATCAGATCTATCAGTTTCAGTTGCCTTTTCTTGGAGCACCTCTTGTCCAGAAACGAATGGTGAGAGAGCAACCTGATGGACTACATGTCATTGATGCTTGAGCGCAAGAGTTTCCTTCGGCCTTTGTTCCATTTTGAACATTGTGAACCACGTCTTTTCCAGTCTCTTCCATTTGAAAAGTGACCATCGTGAACCACGTCAAACTGACATGACCGGTTTGCTCGGTTTACTGTCAAATTGTGTGCCCTCACCAGCTGAGGATGCTATCATGATCTTTCGAGAAAACATTCGTCCTGAGTGGGAGGAACGAATGAGAGCAGTTTGTTGACTTCTGTGTTTGCCAATATTATCAAAAGACACCAAACTTACCCTGAACTCATGAAACTCGCTTCGCGCTTATGCTTGCGGCAGGACAAGATGAATACCAACGGTGGTCACTTTCAGTTTCAGCTCAAGCCAACTGTTGGAGGTGGTCAGGTGCAGCATTCAATTTCGACCTGACTCCTTTTTCGTTCAATACACGGTGATTTTTCCTGTCAGAGACAGATACATTTTACCAATCAAAGTCCAAAGAACCCTGACTTTGAAGGTGGACGAGTACTGGAACAATCTGGTTCTCGGTGTGCTTTTTGTCTGCAAAGAGAGCAGGGGTTACCTCACATGCCGCCACGTCCTACCTTCAAAGACGCCAAAGATCCCCTCGAAGGGCACCCAGATATTGAGATACAAAAGTCAGTCGGAGGATTGGTGCCACCATTGAGCCGGCGAATATGATCACTGGAATTCGACTTGTGAAGCCCTCAGACTGGACTGGATCTTGAATGCTCCAAGAGCATCACCAGGGACGGTAGCCAGGGTATCAACAGAACATCACAGGATATCACAGGCGTTTGCCACGTGCCAGGTGGACAAGTTGTCTGGACCAAGAGCTGCAGGTGTGATTCGCCTGGAGGCGTGAGGTTGTTGTGCTCTTTTCTTCACTGAAAGATATGGTTGTTTTATGTTGTTTTTGGATCCAGAAGAACAGCCAATTCGTTATGATAAGTTATGAGGGTAGTCAAATCAGCTGTTTTTTCTTGCCGGGAAGATGGGGACTCTCTGCAGCCGATTTTAATTGCAATGATGACATCTAAGATTTGCACTTTCCCGCAAGGAAACAATGATGCTTTCTTGTAACAGATGTTCTGCCAAGCACAAGTATTGAGATTTCACATCTTCTTTTGCCCAGTTGCTCAACCAACTCATTTGGGTAATCAAGAGATTTAGGATGATTAGATGGAGATTTAAAACAACTAAACCATAAATAAATTGGGATACAGAACAGTCGCAACCACTGTCGCAGGTGTGGTTCACCAACATGGAGGACACGGCTGCCACACAGGCCCTGAAGAAGAGCGTTGAGAAGCCACTCGCAAAGATGGTGACAGCTGTGGCTGTTGGGAGATGGCCAGAGGATTTTGCTTCCGAAGTGAATGGGGGTCGATCATTGAAGTATGCCAGAAGGAGAAGCTTGCTGATTCCGTGTGAATAAGATTGAATAAGGGTTCGGTTTGTCCAATTAAATAGTGCACCCATAATTTGATGAGGGATCATCTTTTTTCGGGATAGTATCAATGACCATAATTGGTGGGGTATACCGCATTTTCAGACCCGCCAAAATATCATATGGATGGTTGGTCAACATATCATATCCCATTCGATTCCCATGAATGGCCCATGAATATCTCAGTAGATCTCAATTTTTGGTGGTTGAATCAGTTATTTTCGTCATCTCAGGTGCATGGCCACAAGGCTGGATGGCACGGTGGGCGCTCCGCCCAAGGGCAACTTCGCTGCAGTGATTTGAACTCTAATACTGATCTAATGGGATATTCATGGGGATAGCAACCAACAATCTCAACTATATCCTACCTGGATTTGTCCAGAAATAGGGTATACACCAAAACTTACCAATTGAGAGGGAGAAATGATGATACACCCTGGAATTTGGGGTGTTTCAGACAAGTCCATTTTGCACAACATCCAGTTGAGTGCACCATGGCACGCTGGTGAACACAGCAGACTAGACGGGACGAACTAAGGTGAAATCAAAACGCATCAGATTACGAAGCACTGACCGGCAACCTTAGGAGCGTAGAGCACTGAGGAGCATGACCAAAATGACAGCATAGCTCCCGAAGCATTCAGCCTTCCACCCCTTCTTCGTTCAAGCAAGAACCGGTTTGTGGGTTGAAACCAAACTTGCATAATCTTATCACTGTGGCAGGGGATGCTTGTGCTCTTGCACTTTACTTTTGTGGCCCGTGTCAGTGGTCACCCTATGCAAGGACGACACCTATCCCTAGGGCTCAACAGGCCTTTCGCAGGCCTTATTTGGCATGAAGGGAATCGGCTCTGGCAGAAACTATGGGGTGTTACCTCAATGATCCTCAATAGAAATACCTTACCATACATACCAGCTGCGCAATTGAACAGACATTGGGTCTACTTGGTACAGCTGGATTTGTCCTGATTTGTTTTCCGAGATTAGCCCGCATGCCAGAAGCCATGGTATTCTAGTCGAACCTCTCTTCAGCCTTAGCCTGCACATTAGAAGGAAAAAAAAGTTAGCAGCTGCAACGATGATGAAATCATGTTCTTGAGTCCACCTTGTAGCCGTAGCAAGGCATTCGACTTGTCAACATGCGAAAGGCTTTGAGAAGCTACCGCCTTGTTAGGCACAAAGGTACTTCAGCAATCTACCATAAGAGTACGGGAGGGAAGGAGATGACAACTTGTGGAACCTGCAGTCCGGGCTCAACAAAAATAGGATGTTGACAATTTTGTGGTACCAAGCCATTGAGATTTTCGTATTTATATATTTTTGCAGATCAAGCCTTCACACCATCACTTGCGGAGTAGACCTGAAGTCATCAAAAGTTTGTTCATGTGCTTGCAACGAACTCAGACTTGACATGGCGCCGGGACCGAAGAAAATTGTTAGTTTGGCATCTTGATGGCACTTTGCATTGCTGGGTTGCATGTGGGATACAGCAGATGAAGCCGTTTCAGATGCTTACACAATGAAGTTTGTGCTCTAGGTCCTCTAGGAAACTTGCTCAGGAGATGATTCACCCAAACCTTCCTTTTGCCCAAACTCAATGTGCTCACTCCGCACTCCCTTCAGTTGGATCCCTGTTTGTAGACGATAGAGTTTCGTCGAAAGAATTTGCCCTGCAGACTTCACCGCCTCAAGTCCTAGGTTGCATGGTTGGATTTTGTCGGGGTTCGATTTTGGACTGGTTATAAATGCCCTTCTTCAGAGCCTTTTCCTCGGAGTGTTGCACCAAGGAGAAAGGAAAACTCCAGCCTCACGAGTTCGACAAGTATGAGGTTCAGTAATGTTACATGTGCTGAATTTACAGCTGTTGCTTACGGATCAACAAACTATCCAATAGAAGCCACAAAAGCGAGATGTTCTGCTTCCCAGCCATCGTCAGGGAGTCGTCTTGGAAACCGCTCACATTCAGACACCAATCGAGGAGGCTCAACTTGCCGAATCCGCCTGATGATATAATCACAGTCATAGTATGTCATCGTCACCTTCTTTTTTGCTGATTTCCAAGCCGGTAAAACCGATTCCTTTGTGCATCAGAATGCTCAGATCATCTCAGACCCTCGTCTCAGTGAGCTCCGTGACGGCTCCGTGACAGCTCCGTGCCCGTGCAGATCTACTTCACGGGGAACATGTTGTCCAAGTATGAAGCTTGCACCGACTCCTTGAAGGCCTGTAGTGACACCTCCCGGTTGGAGCACTGACCAGAAGCATGCTAAGCACGACATGTTGCAATTTTTGCATGACATGTTGCGAGGACATCATCAACACGGATGGTGACAACGAAGAAACCTGGGAGAAGTTTGATGAACACTTCACCAAGCTGCTTGGCCAAATGCCTGAGTGTGAGCGGCTAGAAGCCTGTGATGCCAGTCTGCAGCTGGTCTGTTTGGAGGTTTCTCAACATGAGTTGGGCTACAAATTGGGATGGAATGAGATACGACATCGTCTTCTATGGCAACGTGGATGCATTGGATTCGATACTTTGGATTCATTTCTGCTCTAGATCTCTGCATGTGTGAATTCTGCACATGTAAGGTGTGTCCGGCTACACCGGCTACCTCATGATTCAGTACTTGAAAAGCAGCTCGGTGGCAAACTTGTGCAGACTCTTGATCCTTCTAGGCAGATCACTGAGGCAGTACAAACCACTCCAGACATTCAGAGCAATATGGATCTTTCTTGGATATGCTGCCAATAATATACGGAGGGCTGTTTTTTGAATTTCTGTTTCCCTGCTTTTCGGCTTTGCTGCTTCTCTGCTGTTCTGCTTCCTGCATTTCTGCTTTTCCCTGCTTCTTTGCTTTTCTGCTTCTTTGCTTCTCTGCTTTTCTGCTTCTCCGCTTTTATGATACAGCTGCGCCATCACACCAATGCCCCCCTCCTGCTCCATCTTTGCGCTTACCTAGGAAAGTGGCAAAACTACCCGTTGAGCACATACTCTGAACCTGTTTGTTTTTTTTTTGGAGCCTGAAATAAACCATAAACAAACCCTCGATATCCCTCGATATATAATCTTAAACCATCCCTAAACAAACCCGAAAGCAACCCTAAACCGACCTTCCAAGAACTTTAAACAAGCCTCAATCCTAAATAAACATAATAAACCCGAATCCAATCCTAAATAACCCCAACACAACCCTAAATAGATCGTTAACCAATCCTAAACTAACCTGAAACAGATCCTAAGCCAAACCTAAATAAGCCCTAAACTCCAAAATGCTGCAAAATAATATGCAACATAGACAGTTCGAGCACCAAGATTGTTGCAAATGCCATGGAAAATGAGATGTTCGAACTCCAAAATGTTGCAAAGACTGTACCGTTGAAATGGCAGGTTCCAGCTCCAAAATGCTGTAAATAGATAGCACGGAAAACGGACAGAACAGGAAATCGGAAAAAGCCAAAACGGAAAAAAAACATCCCGAGACAATTCTGGACCCATAATATTCTGCCAAATTTTGCTTTGTTTGGTTGATGCAATGGATCTTCAGGTGAGTTTTTCACTTTTTGGGTGAAACAGGTGGCATTTTTGTGACCATGAGCCGAGGAACAGCCCTGGTACGAAATCGTGAACCTTTCACCTTTGCTTTTGCTGGAAGAACAGCAAACAAGGCCAGCGGGGCCTCTGCTGCAGGGATTTCTTCTGCAATCACAAGCTGATTAAACTGAGGTGCGCGAGCTTCGTGATCGGGAATTTGCGGGTACTGATTACGAGGACATTCCCATTCTGCAGGCAGCAAGTCAGACTTCAGTGTATGAATAGGAATCCATGGAATGATTCTTGATGGGGTTGAGAATCCAGGCATCTTATGACGACGTCTTTTCCCTTATGGATTTGCGCCTTTGGCTGATGTTTCCTCTTGGCAATATCTTGTTTTTGGTGCACTGCAAATTCAATTGTACGGATCAGCACCTGCAATTGCAAAATTTGGGGATGAAGATCCATTTGCTATTTTGGTGTTGACGAACACCTACGCAGCGCGACTAAGGTGTCGAAGTGCTCACGTCATTGTGAACGTCGCAGGTCCATACATGCTCACGCAGGGAGAGCTTCTGCTGGATTGCTGCTGCCGCTGTGGCACTGACTATTGTGACGTCAGCGGAGAGATCCCATGGTGACCTGGTGACACGATGCCAGAAACTGTTGCTTTTCTGTTTCGAGTTGTCCAGCATGGAAAGTGAAGTGCTGTGTTTCAAAGAAGCATTGAATGTACATGAAGCATGATGTAACAACTATCGCACATCTCAGTGCAACAAGACATATGTGAAAAAACACATGTACTCGTACCATGTCGTAGCATTGCACAACTCTTTCACATCAAGCGATCAACATGTGGGATTTCTTCTAGCGCCCTCTTTTTTTAACCTTGGAAAACTTTTTTTTTCTAACCTTGCACCTCTTTTTTCTAACTTGGCACCTCTTTTTCCCCAACAGCGTAAGCTAAGGGGGTCTTCAGCCCAAAATAGCTCGGTGTGCACTGGTGCAGGCGCTGGGTCAGGTTCAACGAGGTTCTGGAGAAGGTTCCGGAGAAGGTCTGGGAAACAGGGTTCCGGAAAAGTTCTGGAGAAGGTTCCAGAGAAAGTCTGGGAGGCTTTGGTGCAGAGCCAAGTCAGGTTCAACAGGGTTCCGGAGAAGCTTTCGGAGAAGGTTCCAGGAAGCCTTGGTGCAAAGCCAAGTCAGGTTCAACAGGGTTCCGGAAAAGGTTCCGGAGAAGGTCGGGGAGGCTTTGGTGCAGAGCCAGGGCAGGTTCAACAGGGTTTGGAGAAGGTTCCGGAGAAGGTCTGGGAGGTGTTCAACAGGGTTCCGGAGAAGGTTCCGGAGAAGGTCTGGGAAGCTTTCGTGCAGAGCCAGGTCATGTTCAACAGGGTTCCGGAGAGGTTCCGGAGAATGTCTGCAATGGGAGGCTTTGGTGCAGAACTTCAACAGGGTTCCGAAGAAGGTTCTGGGAGGCTTTGGTGCAGAGCCAGGTCAGGATCCGAAGAAGGCTTTGGTGCAGAGCCAGGTCAGGTTCAACAGGGTTCCGGAGAAGGTTTGGGAGGCTTTGGTGCAGAGCCAGGTCTGGTTCAGGTCAACAAGGTTCCGGAGAAGGTTCCGGAGAAGGTTCCAGAGAAGGCTCCGGGAGGCTTTGGTGCAGAGCCAGGTCGAGTTCAACAGGGTTCCAGGAAGACTTGGTGCAAAGCCAAGTCAGGTTCAACGGGTTCCGGAGAAGGTTTCGGAGAAGGTTCCGAAGGCCTGGGGGGAGGCTTTGGTGCAGAGCCAGGTCAAATTCAATAAGGTTTCGGAGAAGGTTCCGGAGAAGGTCTGGGAGGCTTTGGTGCAGAGCCAGGTCCGGTTCAACAGGGTTCCGGAGAAGGTTCCGGACAAGGCTCCGGGAGGCTTTGGTGCAGAGCCAGGTCAGGTTCAACGAGGTTCCGGAGAAGGTTCCGGAGAAGGTTCCGGAGAAGGTTCCGCGGAGAAGGTTTCCGGAGAAGGCTCCGGGAGGCTTTGGTGCAGTGCCAGGTCAGATTCAACATGTTCCGGAGAAGGTTCCGGAGAAGGTTGCAGAAGCCAAGCGAGGTCAGGTTCATTTAACTCACGGAAAATCAGCTGAGGTGTTTCCAGCGCTTGGCTTCCCAGCACGCTTCAGAAAGATTTTTAGAAATAAAACGTTGCGACGTTGCGGCTGTTGGGGATACCACCGAAGCTTATTTCTAACTTGGCACCTCTTTTTTATAACTTTGCACCTCTTTCTTCCAACTTTGCACCTCTTTTTGCTAACTTTGCACTTCTTTTTTCTAACTTTGCACTTCTTTTTTCTAACTTTGCACTTCTTTTTTCTAACTTTGCACCTTTTTTTTCCAACTTTGCACCTCTTTTTTCTAACTTTGCACCTCTTTTTTCTAACTTTGCACTTTTTTTTCTAACTTTGCACCTTTTTTTCTAGCTTTGCACCTCTTTTTTCTAACTTCGCCGCTATAGTCCACAGCTTACGCTCTCCACACTGCGCACCTCACACTTTAGCCTGCAAACTCTACACTCCACACTGCAAACTCCACACCTCAGATTATTCACTAAACGCCCAACGCTGCATTGCGCATTCGACATACCGAAGTCTACAATCTACAACTTAACACCGTACACTGCAAACATTACATTCCATGCACACTCCACCCACCAGTCGCCACACTCCGCACTCCAGACTGGAAACTCGACACTCCAAATTTCTACCTCCACGCTCCACCCACCCCTCTTCGCATTTCACACACTACACTCCACAGCTTCCCACTCTAGACACTACTACACTTCACACGTCTGTGATCCCAGCAGACACCACACAGCACCATCCACGCTCCACATTCTACGCTATTTGACAGTTCACAAAGACTCGACAGGTCCCATTCTCACTACACTGCAAAGTCTACCCCCCAATGCCCTACACACTCAACACTTCACTCTTTAGACTGCAACCTCGGCACTCCACATTCTACACGCTCCAGAGTCCACACACTGCTGAACACACAGGAAAAGGTGCAGCATAACCCAAGGTTCCCAAAAAGTAGGCCAAGGTTTCAAAAAAAATTATCCGAGGTCAAAAAAGGACGTCAGGTTTAAACAATAATCCAAGGAGACTTGCCCTTTCTTCTATTCTGCGGTGGACAGGCTTCTTTTTTTCAAAGTCCCTTTTTGGTTGGCTCCCAACGTAGAATCTGACACATGGCCTTGAGATAGTGTAAATAGACACTGTCAAACATTGCACCTTTTTCGTCGTGGACTCAGGTCTCATCGGACCTTAGCTTTGCATGAGCAAGCCCGCAAGAACAAGGCACAAAAGCAGGGTCGCTGTCTGACCACACATAAGATCAGAATAGATCAGATAAGCATATAGACAGTCTGCTATAGAATGTTATAGACATGTTTTTTATTGTTTTGTGGTATCACAATTGATTCAAACCTGTCTAGAAATTGTCCTGCAAGGTGACTCTGGTGCCCAGTGCAGCTGTGGCTGGTGGCTATCCGGATCTATTGACCTTCCTACTGGCCAAGAAATTGAGGCGATGCCCAGGGTCGATATCCGCAGGAATCTGGTGATCCAAATTCAGCCCATTGAGGTAATCCAACCTGACGACTGAATAAACAATGGAACGTCACCATTTCTAGATGATTTGTTGAACTCCAACCAACTTATTTGGATTTTCCATTGCCAGGTTTGTTTACCGCTGGGTCAGTTGCACAACAAGACTGGGGTTGGAGAAGATTTACCGCACCTATAAACCATCCCCAATATCACCAGAGATGGTCGGGTTTTCACCCCACCAAAATCGGAGGTTTATGGCTTTGGGTTGACCACTTTACCCTTCCCCCATTAAAAAAACACTTTTTCCTTCAACCACCACCATCTATAGGGGATTTCCTAGCCATGACTTAATGGTATGACCTTCAGATCCCTTTCGTTGTCGCCAGAACTGTGCGCCAGGGAAGAGCATGGGGAGGAGCTGCGGCGAGCATCCTGGCTCCGCAGTTGGGTTTGCCTGGAAATGGGGGATTTACCCATGAATTCGTAACTTTGAGAGGAAAACATACGGATAAAGATGATGAACCAGTGGTTTTAGGGCAATTTAGGGGTACCCTATTTTTTAGCTTTATTGACCAAATTGAAAAATGGCTGTTGTGGACTTTTAGTTGGGTATCTTCCTGGACAAAGGCCATAGTGTACTTCAATGGTGGTGGTGCAGTGGGTGGAGCGTGCGGAGCCAAGTTCGCACATGTTTGCAGTGTTTCTACATGTGGGATTCGGACTTTTGATGTTGGTCAAATTTGGATAAATGGATTTCCAACTTGCCAATCTTGAGCTTTGGCCCCTCGACGCACCTTTCTCATTTTTGATTTCAGTTTTAAGGATGAGCTTGGAGATGAATCGAGAATTTTTGAGAACATAACCAGACACCAACCAATTCAAACAACCTGCACTTCATGATATCAATGGCAAACAGGTCTGGAGGCACTTTAGCCAGTCGTGGTGCGATGAGCAATGCTAGTGATGAGACTCGAAAGCTGTATCTTGGCAACGCGGTCTGCTTGATTTTGTTGGATTCACAGGGCTTTGCCATTCTTGGACAGAATTGGCAGAATTGATAAGTTTAGAGCCCGCATGGCCCGCATGGTGCCGCCCGTGTGGAGTCTCCTTGACATTCCTTGACTAAGGATGGCAGATCCCTTTGCGCTGGGAGGCTTCATTCCAAGCTTCGACAGGACGCAGTGGGATGGAGAGTGATGGAGAGTGGCCCAGTGGCCCATCATCCTGCAGGAATGGTATGAAGGAGATGAGTATCCAGACGGGTACTGGGAAAGTGACCCACCGGGTTCGCCGAGAGGACCGGGGTGCTCCAGTACTGCTCCAGTACTCCATTGCTTAGTTTGGCCGTTTGGCCGTGAGTTCATCTCTCAAATCCTGGACTGCAGGATACGGATGCAGCCCTTTCCAAGGTCTCGCAGTGCCCAGTTACAGGCAAGATGCTGGGGTAATGACGGAATGGATTCCCGACAAGTCCCGCATACACGGCAGGAAAGAAACCTGTTGAACTGGTCTAGCTACAAAGGCAAACAGGTTTCACCAACAGATGTGTCGACCAGCTTTGTCACAGGCATCTACAGAGCTCCCCACATGTGCCTGAACTGCATCTCAGCGCAGTTGACATGGAAGAAAAATTGTCAAGATTTATCAAGATACTGTACCGCAAGTCCAACTTCAGTCAAACCAAGCAAGTTAAGCAGGCTGGTGCAGCTGGAACCACTGATATTACATCTCTTCACGAGGCTTATTTCCAAGTTTAATCCTGGACTGTTGGAGGTATTCTTATTTCGACACGCGCATTGTGCGCCGCTCCAATGCCCTACTTGCAGATTTGGCCAACCAGCCATATGGAAAGGAATTCAACTTCCAGGACGTTCCCGGTTGGATGATATGTTTTTCCATAGCTAATGGGGCTATACTGTGTATCTGGGATAGCCTAAAACAGCAAATTTTAATAGGGAAAGATGATATTCAACCATCAATTTTCGCGTTCCTCGATTTTCAGATAAACCCATTTGGGTGGATACCAGATATCACTGGATACCAAGGTTTTGATCCATAGCCGTCATAGCCATGGATAGCTTGTGCCGACAGGAGTTCATTAGGTTGCCGCCAGAAGTCGCTCAGCAAGCAGCATCTGGAACGAAAGCAGCTGGCCCTTCCGTTGCAGATGAGAAGGCCTAGTTCTGGGAAGCTGGCAGTGGCTGGCAATTTCTTTTGCCATCCTTACCGAAGCCGGATTCCGTTGCAGGCGGCCTTGAAAGAGGCTGGCCTGTACTTTGCACAAGGTTCAGGGCCAGACCTGAACAAATTGGATGATGCCTGGATATGTGACTTGGAGATTCAAATTGATTCAAATTGATTCAAATTGATTCAAATGGATTCATATATATATAATATGTATATATATATAATATATATATAATATGTATATAATATATATATATATATTTTTTAAATAATATATATATATAATATATATATATAATATATAATATATATAATATATATAATATATATAATATATATATACATACACATATAAATAAATAAAATATATGTATGTATGTATGTATGTACGTATGTACGTACGTATGTATGTATGTACGTACGTATGTATGTATGTATGTATTAATGTAATGTAATGTAATGTAATGTAATGTAATGTAATGTATGTATGTATGTATTAATGTAATGTAATGTAATGTATGTATGTATGTATTAATGTAATGTAATGTAATGTAATGTAATGTAATGTAATGTATGTATGTATGTATATATATATATTGAGTTTTCACAGGTGCGTCTTTTTTCAAGGATGGAAGAGGTCACGAGAGACTCGAACTTGAATACAGTACTTTAGCAGCTTTAGCATGCAGAAGTTGACGGCAACAAGAGACACACTTTTTACGTCTTTTCATTTCATAGAAAGGCTATGACGCAGTTGTGCGTCATCAACACGGTGTAAAGGAGAGAACAATGGTCTGACCGTGTCTGACCATTGGCCCCCCAGGCTTGAACTGCGTGGCTGAAACAACTGGCGGTCATCAAGCGAGGTCCGCGGCCAAGGGACCCAAGAGTTGGCGCTGCACCTTCCATTTTTCAGTGGAAAGCGGCAAAAACCCTACAATGTTAGTTAGACACGTCACGCGCTAATCTGCCAGTTTTTTCCCCGATGTTGTTGATGTTGGATTCCCAGGTGTGGTGTGGTCGGCAGAGATGGCTATTTTGAGACTGCAAGATGTGCCATTGAGATGGCCATGACGTGACTTGGCACTGTCGCACTGTTGTCTTGTGGAAAAGTGTCAGAGCGGTAGGATGACCCATCTGGATCAAAGCTGGTTGAGTATCAACATCTAGCTGAATCTAGCTTTCATATCTTTCATTGATCATGAATCAGTATTGTCCAATATTGTTAGCTTCTGTTAGATGTTTTGTGATGTTTTATGATGTTCTATGATGTGTTGATTGCCACAAGGCTACGCTTTGATAAGCAAAGTCTGCCGGTGGTGGGTCCTCTGCCTCAGTCTGCCTCAGTCTGCCTCAGTCTGCCTCAGTCTGCCTCAGTGGCCAAGCCGCACGGAGCTGCCGTCTGCCAAGGCGGTGTGCTGAATGCCACGGTCGTGGGCCAGACCTGGTACGCAGATCGCTTGATCAACAGTGGTTGGGGACTCATGAACTCAGTGCTTTTTAAGTTTATAATATTTTTATAATATTTTCAATGTATAAATATAATGACTCAAGCTGAAGTGGCCATATTAGGTCTTTCAGAAGATGAACATGTACCGGCATGGGCACCTTGTTATATTTCTCATGGTGCCGTGTCTTCCAGCTCACATTGTCGAGGTGTCAAGTGGCGAATGGGAGGCTGGTTTGACTTTGAGGTGCGTGCTTCAAGCATATTATTATCATATTATTGCAATCCTTGAATTTCATCTTTGAATTTGGCAGTTGGTGGCGGTTCTCAAGGTCACCACTCAGTTTTCAGATGGTGTGGCTTTGAGAGGAGATGACCCCGCCTCCATACTGAGAGAGCTGCTAAGATCTTCCAAGCTTGGAACGTTCAAATCGTAACAGCTATGGCCATTGATGCAATGCCCTCACATGTTCTCAAACACTTGCACAGCCCACAAAATTGAACATCAATGACATTACATCAACCATAGACGCAGAATGCTCAATTGTAATTTCTGAATATAATTTGTAAAATTTGGCGAAGAGGGCAAAAAAGCCGCCGCAGTGCACCGAGCCGTTTGTGAAGTTGTTTGCCGACCGGGAACTGGATGTCAACAAAAAGCTGTGTTTGGACAAGATATGGAGGCTGCCAGTGCCAGACCATGAAAGAGTGCGCTGCCGCGAGTGTTCACATCCATAATTGTCAACCATGAAAGTTTGGAGAAGGGTGAAGCATAGGAATATGGCGCAATGGAAGCAGGAGAAGCTGAATACCTCTGGATGCCTGTGAAGGCTCGTTTTTTGGGCATGATTTGCACTTTCGTATAGTCATGGGCTGGGCCCTACAAGTTCTGTGCGGATTTTCGACCCCAAATAGCTGCTAGATAACCACTAGATAAAAACCAGTTGGGGTCATTAACAACTTATAACAACATGATACAACATGTATATAATGACCCCATTCACAACGGGTCGAGTCCCATAACTTTACAAAGGTGTTTCACTCAGGTCAGCCACCTTGACAGGGGTCCGTCTCCTGAGCAAATTCATTCGTGTTTCAGTAGTCTTGGCGCGTGAAAAGTGCCACAACAGCCATGGCGTACCTTCCGGATCAGGGTCGGATGAGAAGCATGAGAAGCCTTTGTATTTCTTGGCTCAACATATTTCTTTGTCTCTCGCTTTCACACGTCGCTCTGGTTCCAGAGGCTCCTTTCGTACCCTTGGTTCGACGGCTGTTGGGCGCCAGCATGCATCAGAAACGGGAAGCGGAAGCAGAGGGTCATTGTGCCTCTGATCTTCCTGGTTTTCCCAGGTTGTGGCTCTCAACGGCATTTGGTTGCGTTGTGAATGGGTCCGTATATGTGGATGGCGTTGTGCAGACGGATCCTACGCTTTTGGTCTCAACTTCAAGCACAGTGGCACTGCAGCGCGCAGGTGAGATGTGTAGAAACGTGCCACCTCAACGAGAGTTGTACTTGAAATTCTACAAACCACGTGGGGTGATTTCTGCCACGAACCCCAAGCAGTTTGACGGCAAGATAATCACTGCAGATTACTTCCCCCCAGGAGTGCCGCCTCACCTGCATAATGCAGGTCGCTTGGATAGAGATAGTGAAGGGATTTTGCTGTGGACAACAGATGGACACTTTTCACACTTCGTGACATCTCCGGGTCACGGCTTTGAAAAAGAGTATGTAGCTCTAACCAATTGTGCACGGGATAACAAGCCACCCTCCGAAGAGTGTCTGAAGTCTTTGCGTGAAGGCGTTGTCCTGAAGGATGGACATATTGCAAAAGCCACCCGTGCGGAAGTGATCGACTTCGATGGCCGATTTGCGCGGTTGCGGATCGTGGTGACCGAAGGCAAGTTTCGTATGGTGCGGCGGATGTTGCGAGGAGTGGGATACTGCTGCATGCAGCTGCTGCGTGTGCGCACCTGCGGCATTGGTGATGCCGTGGTTCGCCCTGCCTTGCTGCATGAAGCGGTCAAGGAGGCTGGGCAAAAGGGGCAAAAGGCCAAGCCGGTGCCAGCAACGCTGGCGCAAGATTTACAGCAGCTGCTGCCAGGAGATTTTGCACCCATAGAACCAGAGGAGGTGGCGCGTATTTATGCTAGTGCGATTCCACTTCACTCCGGGACAAGCTAGTGATCCGATGGCTGGCAATGGTGAAGAGCTCGCGAAACTCCTTGAAGATTCAAGGAACGCACAAAACAGGTGGTCCTGCTCAACTGATTTGTCCGATGTTGACGAGGCATTTCCATGCAGAGGAAAACATTGAAGCACGAGTCTCACCCCATCTGCCCTGGCCCAGGCAAGACAGTGTTTATTGCAGACTTTGTCCCAGGATAAGAAGTGCCTGATTCCACGTTCAATCTGAAGTCTGCAATCCCTTTGCAAATCTTGCAACATTGATGAGATAAGAATGCCAACGATGAGATAAGTCTGAATGCTCAGGATCAGGAGGTGAGACGGAGGGTAATCTGCTAGTCAGAGCAACATTTCCCATCGCTAGGTCTGCCACTTGATGGACGCGACGATTGAGCAAAAAGAAGAAGACATGAAGCTGTCCAGTCATTTCCCACGCGGATACTGCCCAGTTTGAGGCACCCCCAAAAGGCTCCTTTAGACTCTAGACAACTTCAGGGTAAAAGAAAGCCAACTCTTTTCATTGCAGAACCTGAGTTGGGTCTATGAGTAGTGCCCAGTTTGGAGGCTTTCCTGTCGTGCACAGTCGGAAACTTTAAACCATTTGTTCATGAAGGTGCTCTGGAGATCTGGGTGAATCGCAGCCTCTCAACGTCGTGTGCCTTAGATGCAGTGGTTGGGTCAATTCGTTGGCACGCTGGTGATTCAAATAAATTTGCAATGGACACCATGTAGAGCAAGCCTGGGGTCACTTGCAGCCATGGTCTGCCGTTTGGCTCAACGTACAGCCAAAAGCCGTTGCATTTGACTCAGTATAGACACCGCTTAGACTCTGCATTGATGCAGATCCGACCGTCGCCATGATGGTCTTGGATCTAAAGGCAGATTGGGCTGTGGTTTGTGTGTGGGTTTCCTTCTCCACAGTCCCTCACTCTCTCGATCTGCTTATCGTCCATCTATCTCTTCTCAGTGAAGGCTTTGGCCTTTATTTTTTTTGGTTATTGATTTCACATGTTTTCACATATTCTTTTGCATTCCATCTTGCATTCTTGGGCAAGGCATGGCTAGGAAGCATTCAGTTTTCGGATTTTGCAGTAGTGGCCTGGCCGAGTCGTCAACGGACTAGAAACGCGCTCCGCAGGCACTGGCTTTGCACAACTGTGCCTTGGTGAGCCATCCATGCAGGTTATCTAGATCTTGAACCTCAAGGAATTGAATCAACTAATTCTACTAAAAGCATCTAGAAACGATCTAGTTACATCTAGTTACGATCTAGTTCATCAAACGGAAGTTGTGCAGCAAAGATCTAGTTCATCAAACGGAAGTTACGATCTAGTTCATCAAACTGAAAGATCCCCTTCCTTGGAAGTTGTGCTGCCAAGCGTAGTTTTGCAGTTTCAGGTTTGCAGCAACTCAGCTGGCAGCATTCAGCTGAGAGCGAGAACAACGTCCAAAGCTCGTGCATCAAACTTCTCAGCTCATCGCTTCAGAAACTGGATGACCGCTGGGTCGTGAAGCCCTTTGGCAGCAGCGCCAATGGCTTCAGCACCAAGGCATGGAGAGTGAAAACCTGAGCCCCGAAAGAAATCAGTGATTGTTCACATATGGATTTCACAAAAACATGTTTGAAGATACTGTATCAATATCATCAATGTTAAACAATCGTTTTCTTTTCATTTGCCCCACGTTTTGACGGATCTAGTGGATCCCATTCCTTCCCGTCAGGATTCGGACTTGGACTTGACGTGCATAATCCCTGGCAAATCTGTGGAGTATGCACTGGAAATCTTTGCGGAGAAGCGCAAAGCGGTCCTGTCCACCTTGGAATCTGCTCCAGGGATTGAAGTTCTTCAAGAGATATGGAGTGCAAGAGTGCCTGTGGTCAAGATGAAGTTTGCTGGCTTCCTGGAGGTGCACATGTATATCATGTATATCTGTAAAAACTCCTGCAGTAAAACCATGTAGTGTACATATCATCGATCTACTCTGTAGCGTTGGTTCAAAAGTGCTAGCAGCTTAGCGGATTTTACCCCATTGTCGGTTGACCTTGTAAAATACAGGTTATCAGCCGTAGTTTCACTACTTTGCTATGGGGACCCCAACTGACCTATCTCTCGCCGTTCCAGGGTCAGGTCCATCGGCTGTCGCTGTGCCCAATGTGGCCGGGGGCAACCCCGAGCCGATGGATGATGAAACAATGTTTCAACCCGTTGTAGCGTACTTCACCTTCATACAAAACAACCTTTCCCAAATCACCAGTGGGAACACCCTGCAAGTCATGAGGGAAGCTGAACAGAGGCACCTTCAGATAATGCATGGAGTAGTTGACTCAATTCGAAACGAATGGTCAAGTAGGCTCGTAATGCAGGAGCAGGAGTATGAGCAAAGGTTGCAGGAGGTTGAAGGTAAGGCCATCAGTGCCGTCAACGAGGAAAGGAAACGAGGCGACGAGTTAGAGGTCAGGTTAAATCAGGCTCAGGCATCGCATGACAAGAGAGTAGAGGATTTCAAGGTAGAGGCAAATACAAAGCATGATCAGAAAATTGCAGAGGAAAGGCAACGTATCACTAGTGAATTCGAAGCTTCCTATGCACAGACCGTTGAACATGCTAAGAATGCCATAGCTGCCACAAAGAAGCAATATGAAGATCAGGCTGCAATTGATCAGGCCAGGCTCATCAGTTTGAGGACCGAGTTCGAGAACTACAAGAAGGAGATGGCCGACAAGATCAACGAGGCAGCGGCTCAGAACCTTAGCCTTCAGGACCAAATCGATGACCTTCAGGAGCAGTTAAAGCATGTTGCCAAAGCGCAGCATGCCTCCGTTCCGAAAGCATCCGTCCAGAACGCTGAGCCGGCCGCTACCACTAGCGTGCCCCACTTCAATATTGCCACTCCCAAAGCATCCGATGCACAGGCTGCCAAAGGCAGTGATGAGCCGATTCATGAGTTGAAAACGCCTGCAGTGTTGGCACAGGAAGCAAAGGCTAAGTTGGATGAGCTGCTCAAAGGTGGCAGTCCCAAGCAAAAGCCGGCTGTCGGCAACGACCAGCCCCAATTGCCAACGCAGTCAGGGTTTTTCACTCCCACTGAAGCTATCAAAACTCCCCCAAATGATTCTCCTAAGAGCGTAACCAAGCAACAGCAAGTGATGGGTCCCTCAGATCTTATTGAATTGGTAAAAGCCTTAACCCAAAGGGAAGAAAAGGATAAGCCAAAAACTAAGGAGGCCGAAATCATCAAGCTGAACAACATGCCCGCTCCGGAGTCGTATAGGACTTGGAAAAATCATGTCAGGGATGAAGTGAAAAGCTGTTCAGATCGCCCGGATGAGGCGTGGCTCTGGCTCAACGAGGTGTATGATCAAGAGTGCACCAGAGAGCAGTTGGAGAAGAAACTCCAAGATCCTGGAAAGTTCCTCACGCTGGACACAAAGTTATCAGCAGCGCTCACACGCTCAGCCGGAGGGGACCTCGCAACTAGGATCCTGAATTTCAAAGAGCAGCAATCCCGAAAAGGCATCCAGGTCAGGGGAAGGTATGTTCTGCTCATGTTCGAGGACTACTTCAAGACATCAGAAGAAGCAGGTAGCCTTTACAGAGTAGAAGATCTTTTGGGTGTTGTCAAAGTAGGCGATACTGTCCAGGATCTCCGAAGATTCATCAACAAATGGGATGCTACCCTAGCTGGCATGGCTGTCACCCCCGATGATGCTGTGTTAAGGGACATCTTGTTGAGGCAGATCCGACCAAGTCAGTTGCTGAAATATGACATTGAGATGTTTGACCGTGCTCATGAGAAATCCCATGAAAAGTCTTATAGTTTTCTTCACCAATCCATGAAGAACTTAATCGACCGTGAACGATTAAGGGAGAACAGGAACCGCATCGCGGAGAAGAACAAGGCTGGGATCAAGGACACGAAGGCCGCACCCGCCAAAGGCGATGGTCGCGGTGGCCGAAAGGGCTCCCCAAGTCGTGGTAGATCGCAGGAACGAGGTGGCAAAGGTGACAAGATTTGCTATAAGTTCCAAAAGGGTACCTGTGATAAGGGGAAGAAATGTCCATTTAAGCATGTCAAGGACGACAAATCTCGAACTCAATCGCCCAGAAGAACCAAGACACGTTCACCATCAAGGGGCAACAAAGATGATAAGGGGAAGAAAATGTCCAAGGAAGAAATGGCCAAAACCCCATGTATCTATCATGCCCAGGGAAAGTGCAGACGTGGTGACAAATGTTTTTATAAGCATGATGACAAAGCTGCTGCCGCCACCAAAGACACCAAAAGGGCCAATTCACCCGCTCCCAAGAAGAAGAGCAAGGATTCCACAGCCGCTCCATGCCTGATCCAGAAGTTTGCATGCATCGTCCGAAAACAGCCGAAGGCAACTTCGTGCTCTGATGAGTCAAGTGTAAGCATGAAGCGTCTTAGATTCTGAAAGGCCCCACATGTGATCGAGGTGAAAGCAGTTGGTCATCAAGTCCCAGTCAAGCACCGTCCAAGAGAGTTCACTAAGGTGTACAAGACAGCTGAAGACGTTCCAGTTTCATCCAAGGTTGAACAACACGAGGCTCAGGTTCGTGCAAGACAGCTTCAGGAAACTGTGAAACTTCATGATTCAGATGTTGCACCTAGCTGTGGGTTTTGTTGTTGGAATGAGGATACACGTGACATCACATGCAAAGAGTGCAGGTTCATTAGCGGTCCCAAAGCTCTTAGAGACATTAGTCGTTTTCCGTCAATTGCCACAGCCGCGCCAAAGGCCGGTGTTAGTTGGCTTGTCGACTCAGGTAGTGAATCCGATCTTGTGTCCAAGGGTATGTTGAGGGATGTCAGCGCCAAGAACTGCCGTGCAGCCGAGCATCCGATTTCCTTAGTCACAGCCAACGGCTCGACTGAGGCCAATGAGGTTGCTGACGTCAAGTTGTCCGCATTGCCAGATCCTGTGCATCCGTATGTACTTGATCATACCCCAGCTGTGCTCTCCGTAGGAACGAGATGTGTAGATCAGGGTTACAGTTTCGTATGGCCTGCCAATGGCAAACCAATCCTAGTCCGTCCAGATGACAAGGTCGTCCAGCTCAAGATCGAAGGTCATGTCCCAATCTTGGATGATAGTTGCAAGGTTTATCCCAAAGATCAATTTCAAAAGGATAAGCACCTCAAAAAGTTGTTTGCAATGCCGACCTCACGGTCGAGCTCGAAAGCCAAGCGGGACGAAGCCCAAGATGAAGAGCAATTGGACGAGCTGGTGGAGGATGATGCTCAGCAGGAGTACATCCGAAGCCGCAAGACTGAGGATCTGTTGGCTGAAGCTGCAAGTACCCAACATCAGTACACGCATTTCCCCAAGAACCCCTTTTGCAGAACCTGCCAACGAGCAAGGATGATGGCACCTCAGGCACGAAAGAAAGGTGGTCAGAAGAGAATCGAAACTGAAGTGTTTGGTGACCACGTCATTGGGGATCATGTCATCATCAAGAAAAATGTGGAAGAGGGTTTCAGGGGGGAGCAAGTTGCGTTGGTGTTGAAAGATCTGCACACTCAATATCGGTATGTCTACCCTAGCCAATCCAAAGACTCACAAAGTTGTGTTGATGGCTTGAATCACTTCATTGGATCAAAGGATGATGTTCAAGTTGTGTATACTGACAATTCTCCAGAATTGATCAGGGCCATCAAGGATTTGGGTTACAGACACCAGACTTCCATTGAATATGCAGATTCATCAAAGTCTTTTGCTGAGCGCGAAGTTCGTCAGATGTTGGAAGGTGCCCGGAGCAACTTGTTGCAATCAGGACTGCCTTTGAAGATGTGGCCCTTGGCCATGCAGCATCATGCGACCGCGATCAACGCAAGCCCCCAGCTTGACGGCAGTGAATCCCCATGGCAACTCAGGTTTGGTGAAGAGTTCCCTGCAATGCACATTCCATTTGGTGCCAAAGTGTTGTTCTGGAATAACCCCAAGAGGTTGGATAACACATCAGGTAAGCTCTCCCCAACAGCAAATGAAGGAATTTTCCTTGGGTATTACATCCAACCAGGTCATGATTGGAAGGGTGAATACTTAGTTGCCAAGTTGGAAGCCGCAGATTATCATGTCAACTGGGGTGCGCTGACAATCCAAAGAACAAAGAGGTTGGAATTGCCATCCGAGGGCTTCATCTTTCCTTTGAAAGCTCTGATTGACTCGAAAGCACCCAAAGCCGATCGCCTCGAGGACCAGGTCATTCCGAAGACACCCAAAGCTGTGCCTCTTGAGTCCAGTTTGCATCCGCCACAAGGTGAGTATGAATACGAGCCAGGAACGCCTCTACCAGCCGACAGCGATGTCGAGCCTGATGCACCCGAAGCGCCCGTATTTCCAGATCTCAAATTGACCCCCAAAGGTGAAATTATTCCAGATGGACATCATTGGGATGGTCACCGGATTGTACGTAACTACAAAGGTTCAAAGCGTCCGGAGGGGATCGACTCAGAACTGTGGAAGATGTTAGGACCCCAAGATAGGAAGTTGATCATCGAGGAAGAAGCAAAGAAAGCAGCCAAGGAGCAGGAGGAAAAGCCAGCATCGTCATCTGGCAGCAAGGGCAAAAAGAAGAAATCTTCACCGGCCCGGCTTGAGGCAACTCAATGCCCTCCTGCAACTGCAAAGCTCGTAGGCAACGTTTGGGAAATTATTCCAGCCACTTCCCAAAAGTTTTCCGTGCCGGCAATGCCAAAAGTTGCCGCGCCTGCCACAATTGAGCACCGGCCTCGAATTAGAGAGCTCGTCAAAGAGAAGATCAAGGAACTTGAGTTCAAGGTCGCACTCGAGCTTTTCGCTTCAGTTGCTAGGCTTGTATCAAAAGATGAGATTGCCAGCAACCCCAAGGCCAAGGCCGCCCTTGATAAGGAGTGGGATAATC